GTTTCAATTTCAGAGATTGTGAGATTCAGCCTGAAAGTGAGAGAGTTTCAGTTTGAGAGATTGTGATTTGTGAGATTCAGCCTGAGAGTGAGAGAGTTTCAGTCACTCGTCGTCGGCGTGAGAGAGAGAGTTTTAGTCGATTTTTTTTTAACAACATTGTTCACTTTAGGCTTAGGGTTTTGTTTTTGCAATTTTTTTAATTTATGTTTTTTTTTTTTTTTTTTAAATTAAAATGCGGATATCTGTGGGCATTACCCGGCCCATTTGCTTTTTTTATAGGCGAGCCGGGTATGGGTAAACTTCATATGGATAATTTATGCTATTACCCGTACCCATCCGTTTGGATTGCCCGCGGGTCCGGGTACCACTTTGCCAGGTCTAATTGGAATGCTGAATTACTGAAAGCAATACTGGGGGGGTTTTCTGTTATATTTTCGATAGCGGAGGGAGAAATAATTTAAATAAATCTTTGGGGGGAAATGTAATAAATCCTTAAAGTCATATATAATTTAGTCTTTTAAGGGTATCTTTATTGATGCTCTTTATTTTGAAAAGTATCTTTCATATAAATAAAGAGTATTTTTATTCATTTTAAAATATAAAGAATACAATTTTTATTCAAATCCAATAGACTTTTTAAATTTAATGAAGATGCTCTTTATTTTTAAGAAAATGACTTAATGAGAGGGAGCATTAATAAATAAAATGTATAGAAACTTGTAGTTTATTAATTAAAATAATAATAGAGAGTAAAAGTCAAACCCACTCTCTAATTTATATTTTAAAGATAAAAAGTCTATTGAACTTTTATTTTTATGAATAGATCATATAAAGAGTCATTTAAAAATGCTTTAACGCATTGTCGTTTATGTACTTAACATGGTTCCTTCAATTCAAAAGTTTGCGCAATATGTTGACATATGGAAAAATGAGATATGTTGCCTTTGCTAGAGCCGTGATATTATTATGTTGCCTTTCCCAGGAAGATTACAGTTTATGGCAATATCATATTTCCTTACAAGGTTATTGAAATTTTGTATTAAATAAACTGTACATTTATATAATAACATACAACACCTCAATACCAATAATTCAATTTAATTGAATACAATTATTTTCTCTCAAATATATCTTTCGAGTATACTCTAATTCTATTTGATTGTAAATACGAACATAAGTAATACTACACTAACAACTTATTTTCATAAACTTTCTCTTACAATACTGATGTGTCAGATCGCAATTGATCAATCACAATTTTTTAAGTGGGACTCAAGTAGGACTTATTATAACTTGGCCAATTGTGAGATGTGAGAGAAAATTTGTGAGAAGAAATTATGGGTGTAATATTTTCCTACGAACGTTGGCGTCTCAAACGTTGAAGTTAGTTTAGCCAAGTAAGTACAAAGTTCATTATGTTTCATTTTTTGTGTAAAAAGAACACATCTGTCTCTCATCAACTCAACAACTCATCTGGGTTTTTCTCAAAACACATTTTTGATTGTTAGATTTCTTTAATCAGCTAATCAAAATGAACAAAGTCAGTCATTGACGGTCACATGCTTGATAAACTCATGTGGGTTGTTTTTAGAATATGCTATTTCTGTTTCTAAGAATCTTAAATTGAGGAACACAGAAATAGCGGACTCAGTTCTTAGGCTTCTCAGTAGCCATGGTTTTAGTAACACCTACATCTCTAAAGTTGTGAGGGGACCTCCAGATCTCATTTCTTATGATGCTGAAAAACCCTTTTGCCCAAGATTGAATATTTCCGTTCTATAAGGGGTTTCGGGTAATGAACTTGTAAAGATCATAACTATCTGTCCAGGTCTATTAACTTGGAGTTTAAAGAGTCTTCTTGTTCCCAATTACAATTTCCTCAAGAATGTTGTCGTTCATGATGAAAAAATTGTTAGATTTTTGAAGCGCAGGCCATGGGTACTTTTACAAGATTCAAGGAGTAAAATTTTTGCTCCAAATATAGCCCTCGAAAGATACTAAAGTGCCTCAATCCCGAATCCTTATTTGGTGCTAGTAGTCCATCTCCAGCATGCTGTGAACATTCTAAGTTTTGCAAAATTGTCTATGAGGTTAAGGAAATTGGATTCAATCCCACCAAAACCTCGTTTCTTCTAGCAGTTGAAGCGCTTAAACAAATGAAGTAATCGGTCTGGGAATATAAAATTTAGGTTTATAGTAGGTGGGGTTGGTCCAAGGATGAGATTTTTGCTGCATTTAGAAGGCATCCACATTTTATGCTAATATCTAAGAAGAAGATTATTACTGAAACAATCTAGAAAGTAATACAAAATCAAGCAAGTAAACAATCTCAAATATCAAATTAGTAAATTGAAAGAAAACACATGTAATTTACCCTGGTTGGTTCACCTAAAATCTGTGTCACGTTCAATAGAGTCAATACTATTAGAATATTGTCTCACTTCTCTCGTAAAAATGATTGTGTTTGCTTATAATTTGCTATATCACTCGTATAAGAGAACAATAAGTTTATATACTAGATTTAATGAGAAAAACCTAATATTACTAAGATCCATTTTCTTAAGTCCAAATGCAATTAGAAATTTAGGCTTCGTTTGGTTGGATTTTGGGAATACTGCTTTTAGTATTCCCAAAAAAGTTAAACAGTAAAATACCAAAAAACTCACAATATTATTCAACTTTATTCAACATTTTTTAAACCCCCTAAATTTGTTAATTTAATTAAATACCCCTAAATATTTTTAATGTTTTTGTTATGGCGACTCCGGCCACCCTCCGGCGGTGGTGGCCGGCTGTCCGTATTTGAGGGTAGATTGGGGGTATTTTTGTTAACTTTTAATGTTTTATTATAAGGGGTGTTTTGTAAAAAAACAAACATAGGGGGTATTTTACAATTTGTAAATCCTACATCGTAATACCCGTCCAATTCAACTTTTTTTTTTAACTTTTTTCAAAAAACTTTTCCCAAAAACACAAAATTGTGAACCAAACGGAGCCTTAATTACTTAGAGAAATACTATAGCTGCTTTTCGTGGAATAGGTCTCAATTGCCTACAAAATGCATCTACCTCACCCCTTATTGTTGAAGTGGTCGACATCTCTAACAATTATAAGAGCAATGGACTTCCCTGTGAACAAAATGGGTTGCTTGTCACAAAATATTTACAAATCGCCAACTGTTCTCTTCTTCAGATTAGAAAGGAGGATTGCTCCGAGGTGTTTTATTATTCATGTTATGCTATCATATGGATTGATCAAAGAAGATATATGTCCAGCCACTTACTTAAACCCTGTAGAGAGCAAATTTATGGAGAAGTATGTAACCAAATTTCAGGAAGAAGCTCCTCAGTTACTAAATGTATATCAGGGAAAAACTGATTTTCTGGATGTCAGTCCTGGATTTCAGAGGTATGTGAAATGAAACAAGCTTAACATGTTGATCCGTGATTCAACATAAAATTTTGTGTTTCCCTCAGCTGCTAATTTCAATTATTTAGATTTACCATATTTTAGATTCGTATTTCGCGTAAGCTAGGAAAATATTTTGACATGATATTTGCAAACATTAAGTTATATAAGTTGTGAATGACTAAACGTAAATCTCATCATTCATACTATTTGCAAATGAAATTAAAAAAAAAAAGAAAAAAAAAAGAAAAAAGAAAAGAAAAAGAAGCAAATATTGAAGTGTTGTTGTTTTGGAATATCTCCAGGTATGAACTGAATGCTTCTATTTCCAAAAAGTAATAGCATTTGTTAACTTCCATGAAATTCATTTTATGATCTTAGTTCTGATGGAGGAACGAAAATAAAAAGTTTTCTCCTAGCCCAATTTTTTTTCAGATTTCCAGAAGCCTGAGCTGCAACCACAGGAACCATTAAAGCATTCCTTTGATCCTTGTAAGAAAAATAAATGATGTATCCATTTCTTAGCAATTGAAGAAAGTTCACATTTTTAATCACATGGATTCTCCTCTACTGCAACCATTCAAATTAGTTGATGTTTTTGCAGACATTGACCCATGAAATCACATTAAATTTTCCTTAAGGTAAGATCAATGACATAATCCTAAACCTGACGTTTGATGTAATAACATATTTATTTAAAGTTTCTGAAATAACAGAAATTATACTAAGGTTAAGTTTCAAGTGTTCAAAAAATCGTAAGATAAAAATTTGGTACATATCCATTTAACTTAAAGAATGTAAGTTTTAACTGCAGTCTACAAGTTCACGATTGGTACAAGATGTTTGTTATCTCAGAAACTTCAAGAGTAAACCTTGTGGATAAATATTTTTAACTCTTAAAATATCATCGCCACTGTGAGTGAGGAGTGGTACTTAGGATATATTGTACGGAAACTAACTTATATTTTATACATTTGTCTATCTCCTTCTATATGCTCTTGTAGAGAATAAAGGAAAGGTTTTGAAGCGGTATACGTATTGATTTTGAAGGTTTTTTTATTCTAAAGGAAGAAATCAAGTTTGTCCCGGGCTAATTTTGTCTTTCAACCTGAGATGACACAAAACATGAAAAGGTAACACTCAATTTATCAGCCTTCATAGAATCAAGTCCAAAGAAACATAATTGCAAGACATTTTTGTTTTAGAAATATGGAATGAGTTTTTGCTTTAATTTAATGGAGACTCGAGAAGGAGGAAGAAAGAAGAGCTTCCATAAAGGAGATAGTATTGCATAACAAATATCATTTCCAACGTTTTTACCACACTCTCTCAATATGTGAGACTTGACTTGTATATCTTGATGGAATGCAGCTCAAGGATTGGCATTGGATGCATGATTCCCTTAAATTATTTGTTTTTCAGCACAGGAAAATTAATTAGAAACCTAGATCTGAAAAATGGGATTAATTGGATCAAGTTATAGATCGGTCATGAATGGTGAACCGAGTCAAGTATAAGACCGAAACAGACCCGAAACCGACCCTTTTTCGAAAAACAAATTTTTGGGTCCGTTTTCTATGGGGTCACGTAAATAACTTAATATACAGACTCCACTAGTCAACATTACAAAACAATGGCGGCTCAGAATTGAACTTTGAAGGCTCATATTCAGCTTCAGCCTTCGTTGTCTTGGCATTGGCAGTTTGAATTGAAGAAGTTTCCGAATGCAGTTTAAAGTTGAGTAAGTTAAGTTCATTATGTTTCGTTTTCTTTGTAGACAAAAACAAAAGTAATTGCTGATAGGGATTTTGCTCTGAACTCAAACTACTCAACTGGGTTTTTCTCTAAAATAAATTTTCCCTCTAGGTTTCTTTCATCATCTTCGCATTTAGGGAAGGGATCGTTAAAAACTAAACAATGTAACAGGAAGAGTCTTTTACAGTTTCTTACTTGATAAACTCATGTGGGTGTCTTTAAAATCTGCTGTTTCTGCTTCTAAGTATCTTCAATTGAAGACACACTGAAAGAGCGGACTCAGTCCTTAGGTTTCTCAGCGACCATGGTTCTTCCAAATCCCAGATCTCTAGTGTGTAGAGGATGCCCACGAGTCATTCAAATTGTTCCTGAAAAGATACTTTCGCCCAAGATTGAGTTTTTCCGTTCTATAGGGTTTCAAGTAGTGAACTAGCAATGATCATAGCAAAGAGTCCAACATTGTTTCTATGAGTTTAAAGAATCATCTTCCCCCAATTATAATTTCCTCAAGAATGTTGTAATTCTGACGAAAAAGTTGTCAAAGTTTTGAAGGGCATGCTATGGCTATTTTTAATGGACTTAAGGATTAAAAATTTTGGTCCAAATATAGCTCTTTTGAAAGATATTGGTATGCCTCATCTCGAATTTCTGTTTGGTACTAAATTCCCCAGCGCAGCATGTTCCAAACATTCTAAATTTTGCAAGGTTGTCAATCAGGTTAAGGAAATGGGATTTAATCCCACCCAAACTGTGTTTGTTAAGGCAATTGGAGTAATTAACCATTTGAAGGAATCGGTTTGGGAATCTAAGTTTAAGGTTTATAGGAGGTGTGGTTTGTCCGAGATAACACTCCTGCTGCTTTTAGAGGAATCCATGTTGTATGCAGGTATCCGAGGAGAAGATTACCAGTTATGCACTTCCTTATGAACAAAATGGGTTGGCTGTCGCGAGATATTTCCAAATTGCCAAGTTCTCAATTACAGCTTGGAGAAGAGGGTTGCTCCCAGGTGTTTGGTTATTCAGGTTCTGCTTTCCAAAGGATTGATCAAAGAATATATACCATAGCACTTACTAAGAATTGGGGAGAGCAAATTTATTGAGAATATGTAACCAAATTTCAAGAAGAAGTTCCTGAGTTATTTGATGTATATCAGGGCAAAATCCATCTTCTGGATGCCTCCTCTGGATTTCAGAGGCATGTGAAATGAACAGGTTTAACTTTTGATGTTCAATATAAAACTTTTTGTTTTTTATGGTATTCGCTAATCTAAGCTATTTTTGATTTACCAAGTGTTGGATCTGTATGTCTTTTACGCTAGGATGAATGTTTTGACATACATCTTAAAACATTAAGCTATGAAATTGTTGTAAATGACTAAACATGAACTCAAGATTCATACTGTGCCCAAATGAAAATGAGAAAAGCCATGTTGGAATGTCAATGTTCTTGGAATATAACTAGATTGTTCTGCTTCCTTTCTCACTGAATGACTTCTGTTTCTGCTTCCAAAATATATTACCATTCACTTGACTGTACATGAAATTTGTTTAATAGTCATTTACAGTCTCATACATTATAAACACGTGGGTTGCCTTTAAATCTGCTGTTTTCTGCTTGCAGTTCTTTCAATTGGAGAACACTGAAAGAGTGGACTCAGTCCTTAGGTTTCTCAGCGACCATGGTTTCACTAAAACCTAGATCTTTAAAGTTGTGAGAGATACCCGCAAGTCATTTCAAGTGATCCCCAAAGACACTTTTGCCCAAGATTGAGTTTTTCTGTTCTATAGGGGTTTCAAGTAGTGAAGTAGCAAAGATCATAGCAAGAGTCCATCATTGTTATGTAGGAGTTTAATAATCATCTATCCCCATTACAATTTACTCAAAGAATGTTGTCATTCATGACGAAAATATGTCAGTTTCGACGTGCATGCAATGGCTAATTTTACTGGAAATAAGGAGTAAATTTTGGTCCAAATATAGCTCTTTTGAAAGAAACTGTGTGCCTCAATCTCGAATTTCCTTTTTGGTGACTAATATCCCGAACGCAGCATGTTACAAACATTCTAAATTTTGCTTAAACCTTACAGAGAGCAAATTTATTATAATACTCGATTTCAGAAAAAGTTCCTCAGTTTGTTGGATGTATGGAGCAAAATTGATTTCCTGGAAGTGAATCCTGAATTTCAGAGGTCTGCAAAATGAAAGAGTTCACAAAAAAAACTCTCTTGTGAAGGTGTTTCTAATTTCTAAATTTAGTTTTACTGAAGGGAAAATTGATTTACGTGTATACTTCTTAGGCTAAATTTGTTCTCTTGAGTCTAGTATGAAATTTGTTCTATGATCATATATATCAGATTCAGTGGGTCTTCACAAGTTTTATACTGAATAATTTATCGTAAGATTGTTGGTAGTGTCAAAAAACTCTTGAAAATTCAAGATTTCAGTCCAGTTGTAATCCATCAACATACCACACAATGCAAGTAGCTCGAGCAGTTGACTGTTTGATGATAATTTACCATTTAAAAGTTGGCACTGATTTTTCATAATTTATATATTCACTGGATTAAATATTAAAACTGACTGACTTGTCATCATAAACCTAGGATTCATCATGAAATGCAACGTAAACTTTATCTGTATCAAACATTATGTCAATCTCATACAATTTTTTATTAAAATAAAAAATAATATATCTTTGTTAGTATACATTAATGTCCTCAATTAAGAAGCAATGTACATCTGAAATGTGTAAAGTAGGTGAAGATTTTGATGTTTAATCTGGTTAATTAATGACAGTTTCAAGAATACCCATATTAATTATACTGAATGTCTATATATCTACCCTTCTATGTTTTGTACATCTCGCTTTTATTACTAATGTAAAGACTTTCGCTTGATCTAATAATAATAAAAAATTTAACATCTACACAACATTGAATATATCTATTATTAATAATACAAAATAACTTAAACCAATAGCATACAGACAGTTGCAGCAATTACAGCCTAAACCAATAACATTCTGACACTTGCAACAATTATAGAGCAAATGGGTTATATAGATTGTATCACAAATCAATGTATGCATATGATGTATATATAATAAATTTAATAATTACAGATTACGTAAAATGTGAAAATTAATAAATTTTCATTAACTTATTATAAAGATGATTCAATAACTTTGCGGTATTCTAAGTTTTTTGTTTTTGGGAGAGAGTGTCTATATATATATAAAATAAATTTCGATCATCCTCAATGCAAATTATATATTCCGTATGCTGAGTGATTCTTCAAATGTGCTACATGTTAGTGCTTCCAAGAGATGCTAATATAACTAAAATATTTTTGCAGTATGCACATCAAATTAATTCGGACCTAACCAAAAACCACACACACACACACACACACACACACACAAAAAAAAAAAAAAAAAAATTAAAGTTAACATATTTTCCCACCCAAGGTTAGGCCTAGAACACTTTCAAATCCGAAAAGTTTTTAAAAGACACTTTTCCACCCACTCATAGTTAACTTTAACTAAAAAAGGATATAAATTACAAAGAGTAAATGATTTTTTTCTTAATAAATTTTTTTCACCCACAGACTTTTAAAATATCATTTTACTATCAATATATTATGTTTTTTGATCTTGAATCGTTGCGACCCTACACCACAACTATTCTCTTCCCCGTATTACTTACAAAACCCTAAACCCTATTTTCACGACCTTGTCAATCGCTGGCAATCAAGCGATTAGGTTTGCATAACTGCCTCTCCCAAGTCAAATTCTGATCAATCCAACCATCAATCCAACATTCTACCATAAAAAGACTTATCGTCTCTCTCTTCAAAATCCCTAATAGCTTGGATTGGGTTTGCTCTTTGTTCGCCGTCGAAATATAAATTTGGATATTAAAATAGTATTTAAAAGTCTATAGGTGAGAAGTGTTATTAAACCCTATTTGAGTGGGAAAAATGGTTAACTCTTTGCATGTTTCCATTTCATTAAATACTTGTATGTATTAATCTTGATGATTGAAGTACAAGAGAGAGATCAAATCGTCCTTTTTTGGAGTGTTTCCATTTCCAACTTGTTTTGATCATTACAAGTTGTATTCAAGTACATCCCTCCATTTACTGAAAGGAAATTATCTGATGTTGATCCAAAAATGGGGTTAAAATTAGATCCAGTATAGATCGGATCGAAATGCTGAACCAATTTTCGTTGGTTTAGTCTTCCTGAACCACCCGAACCCAACCCTTTTTTTATTTAAAAAAATTATTGTCAGTTTTCTATGGGTCACAAATACTTACGCTCTGTTTGGCTTAGTATTTTTATCCTATTCTGGATCCTATTCTCCAAAAATGTTTGCCATTATTCCAGAAATATACCCTATTTTTTAATTATTTTAGACCCCATAAAGTTATAATTTCACTAATACCCCTGAAAAAAAAGTTAAAAATTAACAAAAACACCCCCATCAACCCAACTTGTCAGATTCGGCAACCACGTCGGTGATAGCGAATCTGACAGACCTAACTTCGACCAGAAATGGCGTAATTTCACCGATGTGGCCTTTTCGGCAATCACGGACTGGCCGAAAAAGCCAGTCTGCCGTCAGCGACGGCCAAGATGCGTCATGCAAACGCGCACATCTGGCCGCGCGTCGTTTGGTCTTTCCGCCGTCGAGCCATAACAGACCGTAGATCTGCGTCGCAAAAAGAGCCAAAAGGCCATAACGACGTGTTACGGCAAGATCCGACCGGTCTGTGCGTAACGAAATTTTCTGGCAGATTCCAAGTGGTGGCCGAAATCTGACACTGTAGGTGGTGGGGGTGTTTTTGTCATTTTATATGTTGGGTCTTTAATTAAATTAGTAAACTAAGAGCTTTTTTCATAAATTTTTAAATTTACTTCAATATCCCTTTTTCAAACCCATATTATCCCCAAAATCCTATCCAAATACTAAACCAACACACCTTTAATGTACACTCCCCACAAGCGCTGGGTCAACATTACAAACGATGCGGCTCAGAATTGAACGTTGAAGGCTCTGTATACAGCTTCAGCATAGTAGTCTTGGCATTGGCAGTTTGAATTGAAGAAGTTTCCGGAATGCATTTAAAGTTGAGTAAGTTAAGTTATCATTTTTCGTTTTCTTTGTAAAACAACAATAAAGTAATTGCGGATAGGATTTTTCTCTGAATCTCACAACTCTCAACGTGGGTTTTTCTCAAATAAATTTTCCCTCTTAGGTTTCTTTCATCATCTTCGCATTTAGAAGAGATCGTTAACTAAACAAACTGAACAGGAAGAGTCTTTTACTTTCTTAACTTAATAACTCTGTGGGTTCTTTAAAATCTGCTGTTTCTGCTTCAAAGTATCTTCAATTGAAGAACACTGAAAGAGCGGACTCAGTCCTTAGGTTTCTCAGCGCCCATGTTTCTCCAAATCCCAGATCTCTAAGGTTGTGGAGGGATGGCCACGAGTCATTCTAATTGATCTGAAAAGACACTTTCGCCCAAGATTGAGTTTTTTCGTTCTATAGGGTTTCCAGGTATTGACCTAGCAATGATCATAGCAAGGAGTCCAACATTGTTATGTAGGAGTTTAAAGAATCATCTTATCCCCAATTACAATTTCCTCAAGAATGTTGTCATTCATGACGAAAAAATTGTCAAAGTTTTGAAGAACATGCTATGGCTATTTTCACTAAAGAGTAAAAACTTTGGTCCAAATATAGCTGTTTTGAAAGATATCGGTGTGCCTCAATCTCAAATTTCTTTTCTTGTGACTAATATGCCACGCGCAGCATATTCCAAACATTATAAATTTTGCAAGGTTGTCAATCGGGTTAAGGAAATGGGATTTAATCCCACACAAACTGTGTTTGTTATGGCAGTTGGAGTAATCAACCAATTGAAGGAATCGGTTTGGGAATCTAAGTTTGAGGTTTATAGGAGGCGGGGTTGGTCCGAGGATGAGACTCTCGCTGCTTTTAGAAGGCATCCCTGTTGTATGCAAATATCTGAGGAGAAGATTACAAAAGTTATGGACTTCCTTGTGAACAAAATGGGTTGGCTGTCGCGAGATATTTCTAAATGGCCAGAAGTTTTCACTTACAGCTTGGAGAAGAGGATTGTTCCAAGGTGTTTTGTAATTCAAGTTCTGCTATCCAAAGGTCTGATCAGAGAATATAAATCTCCATTAGCTTACTTGAAACTTACAGAGAGCAAATTTATTGAGAAGTATATAACTCGATTTCAGGAAAAAGTACCTCAGTTGTTGGATGTGTTTGGAGGAAAAATTGATTTCCTGGATATATATCATGAATTTCAGAGGTCTGGAAAATGAAAGAGTTCACATAAAACTTTCTCTTTGCTAAAGGGTGTTTCTAATTTCTAAATTTTAGTTTTACTGAAGGGAAAATTGATTTACATGTATACTTCTTAGGTCTAAATTTGTTTTCTTGAGTCTAGCATGAAATTTGTTCTATGATCATATAATATCAGTGGGTCTTCACCAGTTTTATACTGAATAATTTATCGTAAGATTGTTGGTAGTGTCAAAAAACTGAGAGGAATTCAAACTTGAGAGAAGTTTTACATACTACTATCAAACTAGTATTGTTATTTGTTAGCCACGGACCGCAGGGCTTACCCTATTTTGGAAGTCTTGTTCGGGGTTAGGGGACTAGTGGAGGTACCTATTTTGGAAGTCTTGTTCGGGGTTAGGGGACTAGTGGAGGTACGCGTAAGCTGATCTAAACACTCTTTAAACCAAAAAAAGAAAAATTCAGGTTGTTTAGGAAATTTTTTGTCTCCGACTGTTTTGTTACAAACAAGTTAAACACATTATGACATATCTGCATCAATGAAATAGTACAACTATTTGGCTGTTTTCTGCCACAGTGATCCCATCATCTGCACCACTTTGGTTGTGACTTGCTCATTGATGCCGACTTCAAGGAACCAAAACAAATGTTCTTAAGCATTTAGCTATTGACGGGTGTTTGTAAGTTATGATTTTTATGACATCCATATGATTATATCATAGGAAAACAATCTTTGATGTTGCAATTCAAAGTTCATTGGAAATGTGATAGATTCCTCCATGAAGTTTTCATATTGCATTTAGGAAGCTTCCTCCATTTTTTTTGTAGAGAATAATAGGAGAGGTTTTTGCAGTGGTATATTTATTTGATTTGAAGGGCTCGTGATTGCAAAATAACCAAATTACTCTTGATGTCGGAGAAAAAAATTGGACCATTATGTGAAGCTGAGGAAACTATCTTCACCAACTCTCTTCTTCAATGCATAACTGTTCCAACGATATACAGATATATCGTTGTTATTCAGTGGAGATCTTCAAGGAGGAGGAAGAAAATGAAAGATATAGTGTTGCGATAAAAAGATTACGGCGTGACTGGTCCATTTTTTCATGGCGAATGTCTCTTTCTTCATTGCTGGATTCATGAGCTGCCTTCAGCACCACCGTTGCATCCACATCTGCCACCATCTCATTCGCAAGCTTTAGTACCACCAAATGACCAGAGGTTCTCACATTCAGCTTACAGAGGAGGATTGCTCCAAAGTGTTTGTAATTCAAGTTTGGCTATTCAAGAAGGAAGAACATGAAAGAGATAGTGTAGAGTAAAAAAGATTACAATATTTGATCCTTTTGAAGTGAGAGATTTATCAACTTAAAAAAGAACACAGAATATATAATATAGCGGTCTAAAATAAATCTAACATAACAAGGCACATTAATGCCATAACATATTAAAAAATACACAGTAATGATAAAAAAAAATGCCGCATGCATAATAACCCTTGGAGAGATATCAAACTTTCTTACGCTTAAGCCACATAATTTGTCGGTTTTGTTGCTTTAGTGCAACAAACATCTCTCTGTTCTTCCTTTCAGTTAAAATATCTGCAGCTTTCATAAATAACTCCTCATCATTAACAATTTCAGGCATTCCTTCAAAGATTTGCATCACTTCCTCAATGCTACAACCGGGCTTATCTTTCCCCTTGATAATTTTTGGTGCTATCTTATCCAAAAGGACATCGAATTGTGGAGATACCTCAACTCCAACTCCAGTTTCTTTTGGAACTTCTTGCATATTTTCTCCTGGTATAAAAAGATTAGAATTAACCCCAACTCCTATACCTTTTTGAGACTTCTTGACTCCTTTTTACTTGTGTAGAAATGTTAGTATTGACTCCAACTCCCTTTGAAACTTCTTGTTTCTTTTCCCCTTGTGTGGACACATTAGCATTATCTCCAACTCCTTTTGAAACTTCTTTTCTCTTTTTCTACTTCCGTGGAAGCGGTACTATTAACTCCAACTCCAATCCCTTTTGCAACCTCTTTTCTCTTCTGTTCACATAAAGGAATCAGTCCTCACTCCAACTCCAATTCCCTTGGAGACTATTTCTCTCTTGTTTCCTTGTGTAGGTGTAGTACTCACACCAAATCCAACTATTTTTGAAACCGTTTGTCTCTTGTCTCCTTGTGTAGAAACATTTGTATCAACTCCAACTCCAACTCCTTTTGAAACCATTTGTCTCTTGTTTACAAGAGCAGAAACAATAGTATTAGATCCAATTCCTTCTGAAACTTTTCGTCCCATTTTTCCTTGTCTAGAAACATCAGAATTATCAGAAGAAATGTCGTCATCAGTCATGCTCAATTCCTCATCCATGCTCTTAAGCATTACAGCCATAACCGCAGGAACCAGTAACAGAAGAAATTCATCCTCACTTTCATAATCACTGTCACTGTCACTAAAAATCATTCTGTAAAAGTAAAACATAATAAAAACTCCAAATTTTCAAATCAGTCATTCAAATTGAAGACAACAAAGTAGACAGTTAACTGTGCAAACACCATTTAATAAACACATAGATGACATCCATAGAAAAGAAAAGAAAGTGCACTGGTCAGAGAGAGAGACTCGCAACTCTCCGATGGCTAAAAGTATAAGAGCACATTAAAACCCCCAATATTCCAGATGGCGTACTCGAAACTCAAATTTTAGTTTTTCACTTGTAAATGACTTGGTGAAAAACTTTTAAGATGTTTCAACTTTCAATTGTGAAGGTCTCTCTACCCAGTACTGTTAATAATGTATTTTAAGTTGCTTATCATTTTGTGTGAGGCAATATCAGATAGAGAGCAGGGAGAGTATTTAGCATAAAAGGAAGAGGAGAAAATCTAATGTATTCACAGGAATTTGGAGATACAATCATCAAGATAAGCCAACTCTTGGATGACCATAAAGCAGGCCCGGTTTCAATCCCATATTCAATTCTCCAGGTATGTGGTTGCCTCACGGGGTCCAGTACAGAGCCCAGTTCTTCATGGCCATCAGCTGACAAGAAGCCACGAGTTTCATTCTTCCCACAGTTTGTAAGATTCAGCAAGGAAATTCTGGGTTCCCCAGAAATGTAAAAATTCAATCTTTTAATACTAAAGGCAAACCCCATAGTCAAATATCTATACACAAGAACCCTAAGACTACCTGAGAGAATGCCTTCGGCGTGAAGAAAAAGGGCTTCAGAGGTAGACATAAGCAGAATGAGGAAATTTAACTCTCCGGACATTCCAAGTTTGCATTTAAAAAACAAGACCCTGAAAATATTTTTGAATTTTTTAATTTAAAAAAGCTGACGTGACACACTTAGGATTCATTAAACATGTAAAATGGATTAAACTGAAAAGATTTAAACATATGTGGGTAAAATCATAATTAACAAAAGTTTATTTAAATTTTGAAATTTGAAAACAAGCCCCCACCCTTCAAAATCACTTAATCGAGCCATATACCCAAAAAAAGACCGACAAACACTATTCGTTTTTCTGTGATTTCCAGCGACTATAGTACCTTAATTCTGGCAAATTTTCAATCCTAAAACTTCCTTACACAAAACTATAGATGACATTCACAAAGAGGAGGAAAACCCAACCCCATTCCGAATCCTAGACTCCAGCGGCATAAGAACAAAGAGAAGAATCAGAAAACAGTTCTGAAGAGGAGGACGCCGGCGAGAATTCAAGCGAGGAGGAGGATGCTAGTGAATTACTTGTTTTTTTGAATTGGATGAGAAAATGGATTGATTTGTGCGAATTTGGGGGAGATGTGATTGGTCTTATTGTTATGGTGGTTGTTGGCATTTTGTTGAGCAGTTGGTGGGCATTGGTGGAGTGACTTTGTTTGGGTTCTAGAGGATGGGGGACGGCAAGTGAGACTGTATGGAGGTTATTTCTGGGAGTTTGGTAGGCTGGAGATGGCAGGAGGTGGTGGAATAGGGGGGCTGGAGGGCTGCCCTGCATATTGGCAAGGCTGGCCACGCACAGCACTTGCATTTGCTGGGCTGGCTATGATTGTTGTGTTAGAAGTGTTAAATTGCAAGGTTTTTAATTCATATGTTGGTGGGTTTTAGCTTTGGTGATTATTTGGATGTGTTTTTTTTGAGTTGTGGGGATAATGGTCTTAATTGTGGCGATCCTTAAATTAGTGATCTTATGAATTTGTATGCTATGAATGAATGTGTAATGGTGGTGCAGGTGTTATGTTAATATTGTTATGTGTGATACTAATGTTTGTTGGTTGTGCTTGAAGTGTGAAATGAAAGTTTTTTAATTCATACGTTAGTGAGGTTTTAATTGAGTGATTGTTTAGATTATTAGTTTGTAATAATGAATGAATGGATGTTGTTTATGATGGTGGTGGAGGTAGTATTATTAAGTGAAAGACTAAGTTTGTTTGTTGTGTTAGAAGTGTTAAATGCTTGCTTTTCAATTGATGCTTTGGTTGAGTTTTAGTTTAGTGATGTTTTAGATGTGTTTTGAGTTGTTAAATGTTGTGATGGCAGGATTAATAATGAGCTGTGTACTATGGTTTTTATGTTCATTTACATTATATGATGCTTTTTTTTTTTTTTTGTCTCATACACTTGAAAAGATTAGTTAAAAAGTTCATTGTATGATACTTTTTCTTTGTTTACAAAGTATGTTGGCAGCCTATTAGTTGTTTTGGTTTCTTTCTTTTGTTGATATTTAGTTTATATCGATTATACAGATTTTTTGAAGCGTAAACTATAAAGACTATGGGTTGGAGGTTATAAGCGATAAGGTACTGTACTTCCCCGTAAGGGTGACAGTTAGGTCGAGTTGACAAGTTTTTACGAGAATAATGGATATTTTATGGGAACAGAAGAAGGGTTTAGACTGATTCGAAGAGTTGTTTCGGTCATTTTATGAACATCAGAGAAAATTGGAAAAAGGCGTTCTAGGGGTAGGGAGTGCATTATATGTTGCTGCACTCAGTTAAAAGCAAAAAAAAA